GCATGTAATCTCTATAAAATCAGAGCACCCAACCCCTCAAGAAACCATTCATTTTTGGATGTTGTAAGATACAGGGGGTTGGGGGTTCCTATTCTATAGTAGAAAGTTGGCTAGTTCCTTCATTTTAAGGCTTGGCTCCAGGGTACGTTGGGGCCTCCCATTTTATAGTGATGGAGGGTTTGCAGTAAATTTGTAGCTGTAAATATTTGCTTTTTCAAAATTCTTATTTTCTAGAGGTGCACCTGTTTTGTGACCTTGGGCGTTTCCATTTTATAGAGGTCCCACTCCGGGGGGGGATGGGTGCCCCCGTTTTAGTACTATAAAATGGGGGCACCCAACCCCCCCACTTAATCTAGTAGGGGATGTGAAAAGTATATGGGTGAAAAGTATGTGCAAGAAGAGTTTCTGGGTGAAGAGTCTCTGGGTGAAAAATATGTGCAAGAAAAGTTTCTAGGTGAAGAGTCTCTGGGTGAAAAGTATATTGGTGAAAAGTATGTGCAAGAAGAGTTTCTGGGTGAAGAGTCTCTGGGTGAAAAGTATATGGGTGAAAAGTATGTGCAAGAAGAGTCTCTGGGTAAAAAGTATATGGGTGAAAAGTAATGGGTGAAATAAAAATTGAGGGCTCGATGTTGGGTACCTTTAGAATGTGCAAGAAGTATTTTCTGGTGAAGAGTCTCTAGGTGAAGTAGTATAATGGTGAACAGTTTGAGGTCGATAGAAGAGGTTTCTGGGTTAAGAGTCTCCTGGGTGAAAAGTCTGTGCAACAGAAGAGTCTGGTGATAGTCTCTGGTGACAGTAGATGTGATACCCGTATATTGGTAAAAGTATGTGCAAGAAGAGTTTCTCTGTGAATAGTCTCATGGGTGAAAAGTATCATGGGTGAAATGTAGGTTGGCAAGAAGAGTCTCTGGGTTAAAAGTATATGGGTGAAAAGTAGGTGCAAGAAGAGTTTCTGGGTGAAGAGTCTCTGGGTGAAAAGTATATGGGTGAAAAGTATGTGCAAGAAGAGTTTCTGGGTGAAGAGTCTCTGGGTGAAAAGTATATGGGTGAAACGTATGTGCAAGAAGAGTCTCTGGGTGAAAAGTATATGGGTGAAAAGTATGTGCAACAAGAGTTTCTGGGTGAAGAGTCTCTGGGTGAAAAGTATATGGGTGAAAAGTATGTGCAAGAAGGGTTTCTGGGTGAAGAGTCTGTGGGTGAAAAGTCTATGGGTGAAAAGTATGTGCAAGAAGAGTTTCTGGGTGAAGAGTCTCTGGGTGAAAAGTATATGGGTGAAAAGTATGTGCAAGAAGAGTTTCTGGGTGAAGAGTCTCTGGGTGAAAAGTATTTGGGTGAAAAGTATGTGCAAGAAGAGTTTCTGGGTGAAGAGTCTCTGGGTGAAAAGTAATATAGTATATGGGTGAAAAGTATGTGCAAGAAGAGTTTCTGGGTGAAGAGTCTCGGGGTGAAAAGTATATGGGTGAAAAGTATGTGCAAGAAGAGTTTCTGGGTCAAGAGTTTCTGGGTGAAAAGTATATGGGTGAAAAGTATGTGCAAGAAGAGTTTCTGGGTGAAGAGTCTCTGGGTGAAAAGTATATGGGTGAAAAGTATGTGCAAGAAGGGTTTCTGGGTGCAGAGTCTCTGGGTGAAAAGTATATGGGTGAAAAGTATGTGCAAGAAGAGTTTCTAGGTGAACAGTCTCTGGGTGAAAAGTCTATGGGTAAAAAGTATATGGGTGAAAAGTATGTGCACGAAGAGTTTCTGGGTGAAGAGTCTCTGGGTGAAAAGTCTGTGCAAGAAGAGTTTCTGGGTGAAGAATCTCTGGGTGAAAAGTATATGGGTGAAATGTATGTGCAAGAAGAGTTTCTAGGTGAAGAGTCTCTGGGTGAAAAGTATATGGGTGAAAAGTATGTGCAAGAAGAGTTTCTGTGTGAAAGTATATGGGTGAAAAATATGTGCAAGAAAAGTTTCTAGGTGAAGAGTCTCTGGGTGAAAAGTATATGGGTGAAAAGTATGTGCAAGAAGAGTTTCTGGGTGAAGAGTCCCTGGGTGAAAAGTATATGGGTGAAAAATATGTGCAAGAAGAGTTTCTGGGTGAAGAGTCTCTGGGTGAAAAGTATATGGGTGAAAAGTATGTGCAAGAAGAGTTTCTAGGTGAAGAGTCTCTGGGTGAAAAGTATATGGGTAAAAAGTATATGGGTGAAAATTATGTGCACGAAGAGTTTCTGGGTGAAGAGTATATTGGTGAAAAGTCTGTGCAAGAAGAGTTTCTGGGTGAAGAATCTCTGGGTGAAAAGTATATGGGTGACATGTATGTGCAAGAAGAGTTTCTGGGTGAAGAGTCTCTGGGTGAAAAGTATCTGGGTGAAAAGTATGTGCAAGAAGAGTTTCTGGGTGAAGTCTCTGGGTAAAAAGTATATATGGGTGAAAAGTATGTGCAAGAAGAGTTTCTGTGTGAAGAGTCTCTGGGTGAAAAGTCTGTGCAAGAAGAGTTTCTGGGTGAAGAATCTCTGGGTGAAAAGTATATGGGCGAAAAGTATGTGCAAGAAAAAAAATTGGGTGAAGAGTCTCTTTGTGAAAAGTATATGGGTGAAAAGCCTGTGCAAGAAGAGTTTCTGGGTGAAAAATCTCTGGGTGAAAAGTATATGGGTGAAATGTATTGAAGAGTCTCTGGGTGAAAAGTATGGTGGAAAATAGGGGTAGATGGGATGCTGTGGGAGGATGTGGGGAGGCTGCGGCACTATAAAATGGAAACCCCCAACCCCCAGAAAATCCTACCAGGAAGGGCATGTAATCTCTATAAAATCAGAGCACCCAACCCCTCAAGAAACCATTCATTTTTGGATGTTGTAAGATACAGGGGGTTGGGGGTTCCTATTCTATAGTAGAAAGTTGGCTAGTTCCTTCATTTTAAGGCTAGGCTCCAGGGTACGTTGGGGCCTCCCATTTTATAGTGATGGAGGGTTTTGCAGTAAATTTGTAGCTGTAAATATTTGCTTTTTCAAATAATTTTCTGATTTTATAGAGGTGCACCTGTTTTGTGACCTTGGGTGTTTCCATTTTATAGAGGTCCCACTCCGGGGGGGGATGGGTGCCCCCGTTTTAGTACTATAAAATGGGGGCACCCAACCCCCCCACTTAATCTAGTAGGGGATGTGAAAAGTATATGGGTGAAAAGTATGTGCAAGAAGAGTTTCTGGGTGAAGAGTCTCTGGGTGAAAAAATATGTGCAAGAAAAGTTTCTAGGTGAAGAGTCTGTGGGTGAAAAGTATATTGGTGAAAAGTATGTGCAAGAAGAGTTTCTGGGTGAAGAGTCTCTGGGTGAAAAGTATATGGGTGAAAAGTATGTGCAAGAAGAGTCTCTGGGTGAAAAGTATATGGGTAAAAAGTATATGGGTGAAAAGTAAAATTGAGGCTCCAATGTGGGACCATTATATGTGCAAGAAGAGTTTCTGGGTGAAGAGTCTCTAGGTGAAAAGTATATGGGTGAAAAGTTTGATCAAGAAGAGTTTCTGGGTGAAGAGTCTCTGGGTGAAAAGTCTGTGCAAGAAGAGTTTCTGGGTGAAGAGTCTCTGGGTGAAAAGATGTGAGCAGTATATAGGTGAAAAGTATGTGCAAGAAGAGTTTCTGGGTGAAGAGTCTCTGGGTGAAAAGTATATGGGTGAAAAGTAGGTGCAAGAAGAGTCTTTGGGTGAAAGTATATGGGTGAAAAATATGTGCAAGAGAAGTTTCTAGGTGAAGAGTCTCTGGGTGAAAAGTATATTGGTGAAAAGTATGTGCAAGAAGAGTTTCTGGGTGAAGTCTCTGGGTAAAAAGTATATATGGGTGAAAAGTATGTGCAAGAAGAGTTTCTGGGTGAAGAGTCTCTGGGTGAAAAGTCTGTGCAAGAAGAGTTTCTGGGAAGAATCTCTGGGTGAAAAGTATATGGGCGAAAAGTATGTGCAAGAAAAAAAATTGGGTGAAGAGTCTCTGGGTGAAAAGTATATGGGTGAAAAGCCTGTGCAAGAAGAGTTTCTGGGTGAAAAATCTCTGGGTGAAAAGTATATGGGTGAAATGTATGTGCAAGAAGAGTTTCTGGGTGAAGAGTCTCTGTGCGAAAAGTATATGGGTGAAAAGTATGTGCAAGAAAAGTTTCTGGGTGAAAGTATATGGGTGAAAAATATGTGCAAGAAAAGTTTCTAGGTGAAGAGTCTCCGGGTGAAAAGTATATTGGTGAAAAGTATGTGCAAGAAGAGTTTCTGGGTGAAGAGTCTCTGGGTGAAAAGTATATGGGTGAAAAGTATGTGCAAGAAGAGTTCCTGGGTGAAGAGTCTCTGGGTGAAACGTATATGGGTGAAAAGTATGTGCAAGAAGAGTTTCTTGGTGAAGAGTCTATGGGTGAAAAGTATGTGGGTGAAAAGTATGTGCAAAGAAGAGTTCTGGTGAAGAATCTCTGGGTGA